TATTAGGAACAATGCGCAATCAATGTGATCATARAAGAGACAATGTCAAACGTACCAAACAATTTAGCAAAAATTTTAACGTTAACGTAATAGAATACTTAATTTTGACTTTAACCAATTACGCACTTGACTCCGGTAATGTAATTAAACATGCTTTTGATCGTAACTCAGTAATGCACATTAATTGTGCAATTTGTATTGTCTACGATAAAGGTCGCTAGACCGAACCTATAATATGCTGATATATGCGGAGATTCACCATGAACAGTTATTTWAAACTTCAAAAAATTCTTCGAATTGCGCYATTYAGTAATCATTRTCTCTTGACTTGAATTCACTCTTCCAAGACAYYACTACGCCAAGAGTTCAGTATTAGAGTACTTGGCGAGTGTGATCAATTAAGATGATAAYCTTACAGATASAAACGACACGCACAGTGAATCCTATTGTACATCTCCGCCTACACAAACATCTAGKTCTCACACGTACTCCAGTAAATTGYGAARTACCRTCTAAATAAATAATGTTCCCTRGATTAGGKMACACTTATCTAAACAACATGAAGTACTGACTGCGCCTCTTGAAGTTATAACGTGCAAGGATAGTCGTACCTAATSATGATACTGCACSAAAGCATTTGTAATACCAAACTTARGTAGTCAACATCTAAGTMATACTTYRAARAGCAATTACTGATATTGCRCTAAATGACAACYATTCATTCTYTTGTMCATGATTGGACTTTTTCAAGGCCAATTATTTTGCCCATGATGGACAGGTTTGTCATTGGATTCTGGTAGCGCCCATGACCAACGCCTTGATGGGCAATGACCAGGTCGTCAAAGTAGCGCTTACTCTATCCCACTCATAGCTAGCAAAAAGGCGATTTTTAAATGTAAACATGAAAGCCTCCGCTGTCCTTAAAAGTATACCCATGTATACTAGCTATGAGTGGGATAATACTCTAATACTGAACTCTTGGCGTAGTGGTGYCTTGGAAGAGTGAATTCAAGTCAAGAGACAATGATTACTGAATGGCGCAATTCGAAGAACTTTTTGTCTTTTTTAAAAGTGAATTCCTAATCTAGTATCGTAATGATTGATCATTCCGCTACGACTCTATTGCCATGAATTAAAGTCCTCAACAACGCTACTACTAMGTCCTTCAGTACAAACGTTGACCAATCATTGCAAAATAGTAATCATTCAGCATGCAATATTCTTTCTGAAGATTACTCTCACCCAAACGATCCACACTAACATCATACGATCGTTGGTTTAGGTTCAACCGCTTCACCTTATTCAATAGTCCCTYTTACCTGATGTCAGTCACCACCAACGACAGTTTTTCTGAAGAMTACTCTCATCCAACCCATMAACATCMCACGATTCTGAGTTCACTTTATTCAATAGTCCCTCTTACCTGATGTCAGTCACCACTAACAACAGTTTTTCTGAAGACTACTCTCATCCAACCCATCAMGATCAACATCACACGTTCCTGAGTTCAAATCCTTCACTTTATTCAATCCTGTCTCTTATATTAATGTCAGTCACCACAAACAAACAGTCTTTCGTACCATCACACCCAGCGGTCCAGCCACACTCATTGTACAATCCTGAATTCAAACACTTCTCTTGTTCAAAACTCTCACTTTAAAAAATAAATAATAATAAATAAAAACTATATAACAAATTCCGCGCGAAACTCTCCCTCCCTCCCTACCCCGCACAAGATATTTTCTTCGAAGTGCTGACATGCGAGTGTATTTAGTTACAAAAGTCCAGGAAAGGGCTCTAAGAATTTTCATTGATAAATGTGCCCTTTAAAAGCCCGCCACTCAAAGTTCACTTCAAAGTAGCACGTACGTCTCCAGGGTCTTTGTCCGTGGTTTTTGTTGACATCGAATCTCCAGATCATGTTGTTGTTTTCGGGAATGAAGGTCGAGAGGATAAGCTTTTTAGTCGTTTTTTATCGAGAAAGATTTCCTCGCAGCTTTCTGCAGAACTTTAGCTATCTTTTAATCCTAATTTGCCAAGATTAAGGATTGGGGAATTACGATTAAAAGCAATTGAATTTGAATTACTTCTTAGTAAGTGTGCCGCCTGTCTAGAAACCTCGCGAAAAGTTCATTTTTGTAACCTTCAGATGACTTATTCAACTATTGAACTAAGCAATACAAATGACAGTAAAATTATTTAAACTTTATGAAGTTAATAGACCTCATTGCCTTTGGCGTAATGTTTGCCCATTTCAGACCACGTGTCATTCCCTTGAGAATAAGAATCCGCTTTGTTTGAGTTGCATCCATATTCGAGTGACTTCTCATGCGCAACTGTTAGAGAAAGAAATTATACTCTAGGAAATGACACGTGGAATGAAATGGTCAAACCATTACGCCCAAGCTAACTAAAGAGGTATATTGCGTTGAAGTTAGGATAACAATATGGATTGTTTTTAAAATTTCAAAGGGTGTTTAGYATTTTACGAAATAAAAGTTAACCAAATTTTCAAAAGTCATTATATTGTATATCTCAGTCCTTAATCTAAAGTAAAAACTCTGGCTCTTATATTTCCATTCGTCAGTTCTATTATGCAACTGTTTTTAAGATTTCCACTCCACCTTGTACACTGTATAGAGAGTATACTTATTCCTACAGTTAGTATTTCTCAGTTATGACTGAAATAAATACCCAGAATTTTTTTCACGACGCAAATATTTCCTAAAGGGCATGACAAATTGAGTTACTCGATCATATCTAAGTTGTGTATTGATTGAAAACTTTCAGGCTTCATTTTCAGTGATCAACTGCTTCCTTATTAAAAGAATAAAGATTTTATCTAAGGCAATAGAGATAGAGTTTAATAGTAAYGCAAACAAGAGCACTGAGTGAGTTCAAAGTTTATCACAAAGTTGCAGAGTCGCTTTGACTTGTATTATTGTCTTGCAAGAGACTTGCTAATGAACAGTACTGGATTTAGATTTTCTTTCCTTTCATTGAACAACCTCGCCGTACTTCAATGTTTCCTATTTCAAATTAACACTTTTTTGCCCTTTTCTCAGTCTTACTTGATAAAGTAACTTTTGTTTGATAAATTAAAGACGATTTTGGGATTCTTTGCTTATCGTTACATCAAGTTGCGCCTCCCGTCAAAGAGAGCAAAATCTTATCCAGTAGTTATTTCCAAATCGGATTTCATCCTTYTCATCTTATCATTCTAAGAAAGTTAAGGCCATAAAAAAGCATTGTTCTTTTTATTTTAGATAAAGAAGAATAATCCCTTAACTGCATTTGTTTTATCAGTACGACTAAGATATGTTTTTGATTATRAAGAATAATCCAGGCAAGCCGATTGTGCAATCTCTATCTGGAAATTTTGGTACGATGAAAGGTGATCCTGATTACTTTGCCAAAACTGTTCCTGGTTTTTTAATAATCTCTTAAAGTTTTCTGAAGTCTTTGCTAAAACTATAAGTTCTAAATTCTTGTCAATGAACACGTTTGTTCTTGGAGTCTTGAGAAYTTTCTTTTGATGTAGAASTTCTTGGGCGATTAAATAATCAAGAACAGAAATGAAAAAGTGAATAAGAGGTACAATAAGGACATGGAGGGGGGAAGCGGCTAAAGCAGAAGAAGAAGAAGAAGAAGAAGATAAAGGTGATGGTGATGGTGATGGTGATGGTGATGATGATGATGAAATGATTAAAGATAATCAACGACATAGGGGAAAAAGAAAACATGGACGAAAACCGATCTTCAAAGCAAGCCCTTTTGACCTTACACTCTAGAATGTTATATCCCAATACAGGTACTGCGCAAGGCATTATAGTTAAACGCATTTTCCATATATCATCAATCGTATACATCAATTAAAAAAAGCAAAACTATTATAATTACACTGTAACTTGTCTACATATAATCTATGGAACGCTTCTACTACAAAAATCCGTTGAATACAAGTAATTTTTCGCCACGTCACAAGATAATTTGCATGATAAACCATTTACTATTACACTCCCTTGTCTATGACGTCAGATAACCGTTAGAAATTATCGACCAGCTTTAAGGCTGTACAATCAATGTCCACTATGACGTTTAATAGCTGAATTTAAATCCAAAAGATGCAGAAATCTTTAAGGGATTGAGTTTAATGGAAAAGTTCTTTGAGTACTGCCGTACTTATGAGTAATTCAACCAGATGTCAAAAGTTCATTTGTTAATACTATACGACGTCTATCCAATTAAACTCGACAAAGCTACCAGCAATGTCCCTTGAATGTTTCACTAAAGTCCTCAGGAAGGAAACCCCTTAACTAAGCCATTAAAGCTTAACGATGTTATTTTTAATTATTTTCTAACTTYTGCGAGTTTGTAAAAGTAATTATAAGGTTCAGGGTTTGTTTTTCATTAACTGTTAACTCGAGGAAGGTTTTTTGAATAGGAAAACCGAGAGAAAACACCTACGCTTGTTCTAAGGTTACGAGATCAAAAGGAGAAACACAAATCGCTTTTAATCCCTTGAAACTTTTTGCAAATATGTCAAGACGGTACTGGATAGAAGACAGCCAGGTTAATACCTGAGAAGTGGATATAATTCCTCTACTGAAGTCAATGTTAACCGAAGTTTAAAACGTTGGGCGGTAATGGTTAACGGTGGGGTTTTTTTGAAGGGCAACGATAGTGACTTCTGAGATACGAGAAAAATCTTAAAAATCGAGAAAATCTCTTACATCAAAWTTGACTTTTCAAAAGGGGTTGAATTTAATAGTCTTTTTGTCGCTTGGCTTGATAATACAATTTTTTTTGTACACATTTACTGATATGCCCGATCARAGAGAGATAACCTTGTTATGTACGAACGTCAATGTTTAGTCAAACACACGGCAAGGTCTGCCACTTCATTGTAGGCTAAAGTTCAATTCAAACTTTATTTTYTCCTTTAAAGACTTGAATTTTATAATTAAAGCTGGGATTTGATTGAAAAAGCGGGATGAGAACGACCTTTGTAATTGCAATCAGTTTGATTCATGTTCGAGGCTCATATGATTGGCTCTCAATTAGCCAATCATATGCGTTGTACTAAGAGTCGAATGGGCAGAGTTAACGAGCTTAACGTTGAGTAATTTAGCAAAAATGTGGGATTTAGATATTCTAATTTGGAATCGCTCCAAAGCCAGGTGTGTTCGTTGTCCACGCTAAGAAAGTTTACGGATTACTCATATTTTGAAATTGGAAGAAAGACGTGTAAAACGTCGAGCGTCTTGCCCCACCCTATTCTAGCACTTGTTGTTACAACCATAAATGGTACCGACCCTGTAGGCCAACTACAAGAATCTACATCAACATTGGCAATTTGCCAGGCGAAGTTCTACTACAATGAATTGCGTGGTACCTAATCGAAAGCTTTTTCGCCCCCGCTAGGTTAGGGACGTTAGACGTCGAATAACAGTCAAGCATTCATATATTCTGATAAGGGAGTGCTCCACAACCCCTCGGTACTGCAGTGATTGAATTGCAATCTTGGATTTATCACTCAGCAGGGTTTAGAAGTCCACGGAATCTTTAGCGATATGAAAAACACATGGAGTGATTTAGAAAACTTGATTCACTGTCGCGCGCGGCTGATTTTGTAACACAAAACGACAACTCGGTCTCCCAACCTCTTGACAACACATGTGATGTCTTAAACTTTGGGCGAGGAAAAAAAAAAAAGAGTTTAAAATAAAATTTTCATGAGACACAATTTTCTGGCAGAGTAATTCCAATTAATCTGTATTGCATTGATAAAACTTAATCATCCAAAGTCCCTTATCTTTATGAGTCTTTTTTGGTTTAAACTTTGATATCACGTATTCATGATTACTGAGTTGATCAGTTGAAGCTGCACAGTACATTATTCACTTGTCGAGAAACCACAGCACGACCACTTGAGGCAAATTGTGATAATCATATTTAATTACACACGCATTTAGCATGCATGATTTTATCTTTATATGCTGGGAGTCGCCGTATCCCTGGCTAGTGTTGATATGCTAAGTAATTTATCACTTGGTTCTCGTCAAATTTTCGTTTCATTTTGAATGTTTTGCATGTTTTGCAAAAAGATATCATTACAAAGAACGGACATCAATTTCCCAGATGTTTTGTTTGTTTACAAGATTTTTGGGGACCACAGAATTGTTTCTCGAGAAATGGCTCAAAAGGGTTCGACAAAGGGTACTWACGATACTATACAGGTGGCTGACTGGAACAAGCACTTGAGGTCGCTCGGGCGTCTAGTTTTGTTCGATCCAAAATCCGTTTTATTCTCGCGACAGACCTTATTTACCAAACAAATTAAAGTTAATCTCTGAGTAATTACGACAAGGAATTTTAATATCAAACAGCAAGAAATAGTTGACGAGTGGATGATAAAAACGTTGGTCATGAAGTTTAAATAAAAGTGAGTTGGGAACATTGTATTTAAGAACTGTTTTCTTTCGTCGGTGGAGCCAATTTGAGGGCTCGCCTTTCAACGGTTTTYGTGTGGCAAAGTTATTAGAAGACACGAAAGAATGTAGAGTTTGATAAATTAGGGTCGAAAGTAATCGATTTTGTATTGAGTTTATAGAAAAGGCTATCTTATTGCTTTGTAAACATTCATCCCAAGGAGCTGAACGTATGGTCTGTTTACYCAAGCCATTTCAATCAAAGACAGGAAAAGCAGTCATAGACGCAAGGCTTATTCACTGTAGAAAATCCTTGAAATACCTTCTCGGACTTGGGTTTCTGAGTGAGTGTCAACAAAGGTGACTGAGTTTCAGCAAATCGTTTATTCGGGAAGGAAGTGCTTAAAACATCATATATTTATACTGAATCATAAGCTCGTGCATTTCCTAAAGACTAGATAGGTTATCGCCTACAAAAAGTAGTATCTATGATTTGACTAGGACGTACAATGAACAAAAATGTTTCCTGACTGGAAGTTTTCTTCTGAAGAAACTGAAACTGAATCTCCAGCCAAGCCAATTGTATTCCTAAGCATTAAAGTCTTAGCAAGTTTTGGAAAGCGTTTAAAAGTTTTGGAATTTGCGAGAGTCGAAGTAAATTGGGAGAACAACAATGTTATCAAGTTTCATCAACTTCCTTATCAAGAGCGAACCACAGGGTAGCTCATCAGGCCACCTTTCTGTCGAACCCCATGCAAAATTACGATTTACAAGTTTGGGAGGTCACTTAAGTATTTTAACCTGGGAATTGTCAAGTTGACGGAACAAAAGACAGTAAAAGTACGAAAGACTAAGTGTTTTTGATTTAGAGAAGGGTTGGTATTTAAGATAGCCCAGGATCAATGAATAGTAATTAGAAAGTTACGTTGCAAGAGACGTGACAGTTCGTACAATATTTGAACCATGGAATGTCATAGTTAAGGTTTTCAGCATAAAATAATGAAACGCTTTAAAAATTAACCAGCTTAAACAATTTGCTTGAATTAAGTAAAAAAAGGATTTGCTTAGTATGCAAGTTACTTCAGAACTTATAAAAGCGTTTGATGGAAGATTTAGTTTAGGTCAGGAAAAAAATATTTCCACTGGTGTAAATATGTGTCGAGCTATATGCAAAAATATTGTACATGATTTTAAACTTTTAAAAATTCCAAACAAATTTAGCTTTTTTTTTATTTTTGAAAAATTTCCGTGGTTCTTGTCATGTTTTAAAAAGCATGGAAAGATTRATTGAAGTCATTCGAATCCGTTGACACTTTGTCTCAGCATGACCACAATAACACCCAATCCACAACACAATAAACCAGTATGGTGCTAATCACATAATAGTACAGTCATTTAACTTTTTACAACTCACCGTCCATGTGCAGAAAATCTTCAAGCAAATCATCGTCTTCGCATGGAAACTGACTGTTGTCAAGCAGCTTGTACAGCTCGTGTTCATCGTACAGTTTGGTCGCGTCTTGGATCAAATCGGTGCCTTCAGTTCTCGCCAAATCATCCTGGTGCAAGATCTCAGTGAGGTGATCGATCCACTGCGCCGCTACGCGTAGGATGTCAATCTTGGATATATCCATGTGGGATACTGGCAGGGTGTTTTTAAGATCCACAAACGCTCTGTTGACACCCTGTATTCTTTTGCGCTCTCGTTCGTTTGCAGCGCGGCGCTGTCTACTCACTCCTGTCAACATCCTTTTCCTTCGTCTCTTTCGTTTCTTTTGAGTTGGGCGAGTATTGCTCTCCTCAGCCTCTTCTTCTGGCTCCGTAAAATGCGAAGGGGGTGATAGTTCGCTGGTTTGATCTGACGAGGAGGATGTAACGGTACTTTCAGTTTCATTATCCTCGCCTGAGTAATCCGACTTTTCGAGGTCTTTCATCGCTGTTGAATAGTTGAGAAATGCTTGAACAAAATARAATTTGTCGTCGCTCGACTTGGTTCAGTGTGTGACCATCAGATTTACACACGCTACTATGACAGTGTGTCTATAAGTGGTCCTCGTCTTTGAAATCTTATTCCAATAAGCGTGATGTCACTCAACACGGAGTAGGTAACGTTAGACGAACGCACGACAGTCTATAACGTCCAACCTGAAAAATTTAATAGGTGTCAGTTGCAATGTTTCACCAGCAGCCTTGGGCATAGGAAAACAAATTTCAACATCCTATAACACTGGCAGACAAAGAAGTAAAATACTAGTCCGGGAAACGCTCTATCTCCGGCATCTTTTTTTTTTTTTTTTTTAATTTTCACGAATTTAGTCTCTGGTTGATCAGCTCTACATTCCCATACAGGCGTGTCTGCTTAAACACAAGAGACTCCAATCGACATAAGCCATTAAAACATTGACTCCAAAGTTATGATCACTGATGTCAAACAACACAACACAGCACACGCACAATGAATACTGTTTTTCTAATAAAGTGTTTAATTARATGCATCATCATATTGACTTGGACGCAAGCAAGACTCGCCCATGTCAGAGATAAAGGATTAACGTCCAACGGATCACACGAAGCTAGGMATCGACTCTAATATTTAATCATCGACAAACAGACTTTGAATAGCAAAGTTTGGATGCTTTACTTTATATAGAATAATGTCTGGGGTAACAGGTCAGTGAAGTTARAGGACGGTAGTTAATTAAGATCAGCTGAGGCTATTATATTATGGTTAAGGTATCATAACGAKTAAACGAAAGTTTGAAACTATAGAGTTGAAATGAATCGTTTACCATTTGAGATAAAAATATGAGGCAAAAATATGCTTGTCAATATRCTGTGTAACAAAAGAAAAGAAAAAACTTGCCAGACCTGGCTTTCTTGCCTTCAAATCTAGAAGCATCGCTTCAAAAGTTTTACAATTTCCAGGCATTTTTTCTCAAGGGCTTCCGATTTTAGGTTTGGATTCATTCAAAATAAGACTAGTTGTTTCTACGTTTTTGAAGAACTTSAAAGCAGTTTCATGAATCAAAAAGGAATTTTCAAAAGTAACGTTTAAGGTCAAGGAGTGACAGAACCCTTGTACTGGAGATATTCGCAGGAATCATACACGAGTGTGGATAATGTCATGGACATTCCGTGCAACCTAGAGTGAGCCATGGTATCATGGAAGAGATAAATGTTGTCACACTTCAAGAAAAGTGCACGAGATATTCATGCAACGTAACTAGTACATTTGCACGAAAATTCTTAGCTGACACCAAATCGTACGATTTCAACCCTGAATAAAACCCTCAAAGGGTCAACTTGTGAGTTTGTCCCATTCAGAGATTGTATCAGTTTAAAAACACTGCATTTTGCATCTTTTTGTCCGTCTGCCATCACAAGCGTCATAACATCTTCAATGTCCAAATAATCCAAAAATATTCTATTACATCGTGATTAAGCTTTCAGAAAAAAAGTCATTGATGTCTTTGTACTATTGGCTAATAATGCTAGCGTTGTTTGATCAGATCTTGACAGCAATCTATCATGGATTAAACGTAACCTCTAAGCTTAACTTAATTTATGCGTCGTCTGTACTGACAATATTGGTGCAATCAAGATGGGTGCCTCTTTTTCTTGTGGATTTTGTTTTTAGTTATATGCAATACTTACTCCCCATATTGACTATAGCTATTATCTTGATAGTTTTGACCTCATAAAATTACTCTCTTGACAAGTTATCATGACTTGGAGTTAATTGTTCATACGCACTTGAAATTCACGATACTTTAAGACAATTATAAAAGCCACAGAAGAAWATTCTAGAGTTGAACAAACTATTCTATGCTTTATGTGCAAGTTATTGACGTAAAAATTGTCAGTTGTGGTTTTGGAGTGTTGTTTTTAAGTCCTGAAGTGTTCTATTCTGCTTATCTTATCAAGATTGCTGGTTGAATGATGGCATTATTAGCGCTAAAGTATTTCTTATCTTCAAACTGTCCTTATCATTCGTAAAAAGACCATCACGTTCGCAAGACGAACTCTTCTCCCACGCTCAACCTTGTGAACAGGACTTATCACAGGTAAATAACTTTCCCCCTATTCTTGAGACAAGAAGAGTGAGCCCTATTAAGACACGCGCCACTATATAAAAAATTTGCTAATTGGCTTGTTGAATTGTTCTCATTTAGACTACAATCATTTCTTTAAGTTTGCACGTCAGAAAATAGCATTGGGTATAACACAAGGATGGTTTTCTTCGTGGTGGGTCTTAAGATTCTAGAAGAACGGAACGTCATTCATAACTTTTGGAAACGAAAAACAAACAAAACAAACAAAACTTTGACTGCTCAACAGGTTGTCTGTCAAAACTGACAAAGTTATACAGTCTTGGCGTGGCCACTTTTGGCAGTAAAGTGAAATACTTTCAAATCAAATACTCTCATTTGACAGTTGCTTTATTTTTCTAAACCCCTGTAAGTGAACCAATAGTATTTGACCATATTCTATCAAGTTTTTGAAATCATTCTTGTGTCAGAGCCAAAATCATTTAATTGCAAATCTGATTGGCAATAGTCGTCACTATGGTGCAAATTAGCGACCTTTTCCGACCTGAAAACTCCAAAACAGACCAGAAAAAAAACTGTTAATCCTTCTTAAACGTAATAATGGAGAATTTCCCTTCAAACTGGAAGCATGTTTATTTTAGATAACTGGGATTTACTTTGTTGTTTTAACCCGCGTACTTTTTTGTACTGTTTTGCAAATACTTCAAAAAGAAAGATAAACTTGAACATTATTCGTCTCTGGAAACGTAAACCTAAAATAAATTCAAATTTTGAAGTTTTGTCTGTTCAAAGCTTAGTTTTAACTAGGCATCCGCGACTCGTTGAGTCTAAACAATTAGCTTTTTGTTATTAATACAAATTTATATACTATCGTGAAAAGRCCACACAACATCTTTTTATCCGCTCTGGGGGAGAAGTGAGGAACGGACGAACAAGAAGGTCAGAAAATATGAAGGTTGAAAACTTAGTACTGATAACGTAAAAAAGGACATTGAAAAGTCTATCCAAATTCAAAGTTTAAACTTTAAAGGCTAGACAATGAGTGTTCTCGTAGTAACACGAGCCACAAAGAAATTCTGAGCTTAGGAACTCATCGAGTTATCTTCCCCTAATCCTAATTGCTCTCAAAACACATTCAGTTTTGTTGCCCATTGTTAAAGAGTGTCCTTGTCCTCTCCCCACGCCCAATAATATCATTAGTTTAGTTCAGTGTAATGACTGAATCAGCAATAATTCACATGTAYTACCGCCAAGGCTTTTTTAAAGTGTTTTGAATATATTTCTCATTAAACTAAGGCGCAACACCACCCTWCTGCATCTCTTCAGTGTCTGAAAAGCTTAGAGTGTCTGTAACTGCGATTTACTAGTTCTAGTGGTATGTCTTCCATCGTAAAGGTCATGAAGTATTACTCAAGGTAGCTTGCTGCCCTTGAGGGGAGGGGTAAGGAATGATGTAAGTCCCTCGTTATTCCCTTGGGGGAGGGGAGGGCTAAATAACGAGTTATTTCAGTTTTGCCTTAAACAAACTCCCCTGGGGGTAGGGGCAAGTACGTCAATGTCATATCAAATAGAATACGACAAAAAAATTCCCAATGAAGCTAAGGCAACTGATGTACCCAATAGCATTCTAATCAACCCTTCCTCCCAGTGGATTACCTTTGTCATTCCACATGACCGACCATAACACTAAGCCTTGTCGTCTAGGAGTATTATTTTTCTTAGGGGGGTGGGGTAAAAAGCATATTGTCAAACTTTAAATTTGACATCTTCTGTAATGGAAAAACCTCCCTATCTTTGCACAATGAAATAGTGTTACTTTAAAAGTACATTACAAGGCGGAATTTCTATTCCTAATCGGTTTAAAGTGGCTCAATTTTGTCGAGCTCCTGCTTGTAATATACGAGACAAAGGTTAAAGAAGCGTGTTCCTGCTTGCCCGAGTTTTTCGAGCTGTGCAGACGAAACCTAATCCATGTGCGAGCCATGACTAAAATGCCTGAGGTCTTGTTCCAAAAACACTTGAAACAAAAGCATTCCTGCTGAAAGATTTATTCCTGTGGCCTTTCAAGAACTTACGCTTTCTGTTCCTGTTCTAAAATGTCAAAGATAAACCGTTTTCGGAACATGCAAACAAGTAGCGAGTATTTCAAACAAAGCTGGTTTCCATCATGGAAATCGAAAAAGAGTCATTAATTACGATTTGTTGGTAATCGGGTTGAGTTCAACGCAAATGGTATTTACTTTGTCAATAATATCTTTGTAATGTAGCTCACTGCCCTTGCGCTCGTAATGGCATTATCAGAGTCAGTTTACGAGCGTGGAGAGTTCCAATTCGGCCGGAAAAAATAAGTCTAATTGGATAAATGCAAGACAAAAATCTCCCTTGCTGCTCGAGGCAACTTGCGCCTTCAAGGCACACGAGAGAAACCCGAATATACCTCAAAGTTTGTAAAATAATTAGGACCGCGATGCCGTGTGCGTCATTACAGGATTAACTATCACCAATACCGTGTAAGGAAGTGAAGCGCTTCGAGGTGGAATTCTCTTTACGATCGAGATGAATACTCTTGTCTCATTATGACGTCACACACCTCTATCTCCGAGATAAGGATACTTACTAACTAAATAAAACATTTTGTGCTATTTATAACTCTTTGTTGTGCGATTGAATTTATTTTTGCTTTGGTGAAGGTTATTTTTTTGGCGTCTTTTTGGGGAATATTTTGTAAGCGTCGCAATAACTTTGACAGGAAGGCCTAACGACGAAAAGTTTCCATTGAAAAATTAAATTGACTAAATCATTGTTATTTCTACCTTAAAACTACAATAGTTCTGCTGTCAAAAGTCATTTATATCATTGATATTGATCGAATAAAATATTTGGAACAGTATTTTAGGTTGTTTACTACAGCTATAGATAATTCTTTCTATACTTAATCACACTTTGTAAAACTAATCCYTGCTGAGCAATCGAAAACACACCGTTGAACAGGAAAATAACGCCAAGTTATTAAGAAAATACTCTTTAGGGATAAAATAATAATATTAAAGTTTTGCTGACAGAAAAATTTAGAGCGTGATTTAAGAGTGTTGTAGTCATTTTGTTGCATTTTTGTACAATACTGAGTTCGGTTTGTACAAGAGTATTCGATAATACACATATAACCTACCTGACTGTTCAAGCTAGGCCTTGGCGTCTTCGTCTATAAAATGATACTGGGCTTGGAAGATTATGTATTGACTTTGTATAGTATTGAATGAACCCTAAGAGTCACCGGTCAAAAGACCGAGTACAAGCGTTACCTCAAACGTTTTGGAACAAGGAGTTGGGAATCTCGAGACTTTACACGAGTTTAAACTTCGGATTTCCTGTGGAGTCGATTGATGGATCGGTAATGCTCTCTGAGTTCTCCTCACACAATCCTAAGGATTTTATAACTGCTTGGTCTGGCTCTGAGTAAACTAAAAGTTATGTCGGGTCGTTTTACTGTCGCACTCATCGAATGTATAATTAAAACCTACTTTAGCAACGGTTTATAAGCGCTGAGAATATCAGTCGAGACATCCAAGGTGTCACATTTTATTGAATCCTATGAAAATAAAAACCATGAGTACGGCTTATTTTGAGTATTGACGTTAAATGTCGTTGACTTTTAACCGGAGTAGTGGTACATTGGGACAGCACGTACGAGAATTATGTTACACAGATATAAAATTACTTTACCAAACTTCTTGGGATTAAATGACCGAAAGCTATACGCTTTAACTGACCCCCTCCCCTCTTCTTACCAAAAAAAAAAAAAAAAACGTTTAAAAGGAGTAAAGAATTCGCATTAATTGGCCAAGAGCTGTCATGCAAATTGCTTCTCAATGGTATTCATTAACTTCGAAATGGCTTCCTATTAGCACTGAAATGGCTTTCCATCGGCATTTACTTCAAAATGGCTTCCTATCCGCATTTACTATGAAATGACTTCCTTTTGTTTYTTTTGAGTGTCCAATTAAAATCGAAAACAATGCAAAGTAAAAAGTCTTCGCATTTTCAGTTTCTCTTGTCAAGAGTGAGAATATCGAAGGTTTTCGCAGCAGCCCGTGCGGTTCATGCGCTTAGTGCAACATGGCTCTATAATACGTGGTCCTACACGTAAAAGCCGGCATCACAAGTTCATGTCATAATGTTAAGTTTTTCAATTAATCAAAGGACAAGTTTATTCTTTTCAACACGTGGTATTTTTCTTCATGTTGCATAGTTCTGAAGGGCCTAATTTGACACCAGTTCCTGTTTGGTGAGATGTCTTTCCAAAAACAGTCATCGAGTAAATCAACCATCCTTTTAGGGGTAAAACTCGGTTTTCATCTTTTGGCATTTTCAAAAACAAATCATATTTTACGAATTTGGAAATAATTTATAAAGTAATGAAAAAAACATTTTTTTTGTGCGCTATTTTCTCTGTTTTTCGTGGCGTAAATTAAAATGATTTTATCAACTGCCAAGGAAGTCGAATTCTCGTTTCATGAACGCCATTCTGACTGTGATTATCATTAACCCTCTAGTTGGTCCTGGTACGATGTTCGGATGTGGTTTACAACATGATGTCTACTCATGATCATCAAACTACACCGTCTTATTGCCATTCCTCGGCGCACCGCCAAACCAAAATCTGTACAACTTATTCGGTTTCCATTACTAAATTCTTTTGCTGAAAATGATCACGTATTCACCCACCCATTGAGGAATTAAAATCTTGAAGAGACCCACTCAAATAGGCCTGGCACAGTTCTTCCGTTTAAACAGTTTTTCCGTCCTTTCAAAAAAACAGAGTGCATTTGACTTTTTTTTAGACCTGTTTTGTACGTATTAATGCTCGTTATCGAAGGTCGAAATTTCAGGAAGAAAGATAAGATTTGTTCGGCAGCCTGGACTATACAGTCTCGTTTAAGTACTTTTTAAGGATTTGGCAAGAAAAACGCCATACTTTTTTTTCGAGTTTGCAATAGACTTATTCTACTGTGACCCTATACCATCCCCTTAAGTGTTATTTCGTTGTTTTCTAGTATACTTTAGAAGATAAATTATTATGGATGTAAGTCGAACTTAGGATCCGCATTCTCATAGAAATAATAAGTAGAATGAGATCGAAAAAGATTACAGCCAAGTTTCTCGTTTTTGAAGTTAATATATATATATATATTAAAAGGTATATRAAAATTGGCAGAAAAAACTCAATACGACGGAAATTAAACGTGTGAGATGTGCACCATTCTTACTTGCATCAAGTCAAAACGAATAAAACCAAATCTTACCTCAGTGGTATAAGCTCATGATCAACCCTACGTCACACTTAGTTTGCGCATGCGTATGAAATAAAACAAGCCTTGCTCAGATATATGCCGAAAGAATCGGAGAGTAAAACCAAAGACGTTGTGTTTGATTTTCAAAGAAACATTCTTCCCTTACAAAAAGCTTAATATTGTCATCGTTATAAGACTAAGCGGTTTAAAGATGCCAAAACGGTCTGATACGATTATGAATTTACCTCAATTCTCACAAGGTGCACGGCTCGTATCACACGTGTGTTTTCGTCTACAGCTGAGGCAAGGAGAGGCGGGGAGTGCTGAAGAGGATCTGCTAATGATTTGTCAATCCTATTTAGTAAAGCTCTGGTTTTAGTGAGCAGTTTACTGCCAGGATCTGGCCTGAGTTTCCGACACAATCCCAAAGCATCTGGATGATAGGTCAGTCGGTGAGAGTTGACTTGCTACAGATTGTACGGTCTGTGTTCTACCGGACACAAGCTATTAACCCTGTTTTTTAATGCGTACAACTCACTTGCACAAGAAACGTATATTTGTAGATTTTTTACGGATAATTTTACCTTGGAAATCGTATGCTACTCGACTAGGACTTCATCATAAATAGCGATAAATAAATGAATAAATAAATGGGATTTAAGTGTGGCAGTAGCACTTCATCCACTGAATTTCAATTGGAACTCTTAGAAGTAGATTTTCGAAGAGGTAAGAAAACTGGAGAACGTGGAGGACTAGAAAAACCCTCGAATCACAGACGATAATCAACGATTACAATTATCGAGTCCGGGAACCAAACTGCCGGGGTTGCCTTGGTGAGAGGCGAGCGCTCTCACAGATACGCCACCCATGCATCATTCAATGCTCTGAAGATAAAATAACTAAAGCTACTGACCATGGATGGCGTTAGGTTTGAAACCTTTTGAGAATAAAATACCTACTATAAGCAAGGAAGGAGTAATACTCAAGGGTAAAGACRATTAATCCTAGAAGACCTAGGAGGAAGTATTGTAACAAAATAATGACGACATACTTCATGCGTTAAATTTACTCAAAACACACACGAAGAAGCAATTATAATATCATTTAACAGTAATCTTTCTTTCTATTTGGTCTGAAAATTTCGGAATGTTCATCAGAGGAATCGAAAATTTTTAACAGAATTCTTTATGGCTGACAGTATTTGACCACCATTTGGAACAGAGAATAAGATTCAAAGACTTTTATCAGCTGATTAGAACCTAATAATAAGATTTTTGTTTTTCCTCTTACCTTGTCCACGAACGTAAATATATCAGAGAGGGTTGTTGAATTTCTAAGATGTGTTTATATGACTTCAAAATGTTCACTAAGGTTGGATGGAGTCTACGCCCTTCTTCCTTTAAAAATGGCGACTTTGAGTCGATTATTTATTATGGCGGGAAAAATCACGTGACAACCTTTATAATATGCCCAGTCCTCACGCAGACAGCAGTAATGTACTCAATCTCAATTCTACTTATCCGAAAGTCAATTTAAGTATGACATTATTGCAGATGCAGCAAAAATAGTTTTTAGTTTATATCCCGATTCATTTTAACTAAATTTGACGATTCAGTAATACAAAATAAGCCTGTCTTTTTAAACATGGCGGATAGTTCCTAGTCTCTCTCGACTCATGTTTCCGCACATGCGTGTTACAACGGTTTCTACATGTCACGTGATTGTTTTTAAGGCTGTGGCTCAGTGTCGTAAAAAATAGTCCAAGAGTTTCAACAATTTATGATGGGAATGCAAAGTATGATTGGTATAGGACCATCACACAGGATGTCATAAAAAGGTCAAAAACTCGTCTGTCGCTCTATAAAAGGAAGCGAAAACCACGAGTCATAACGTTCACCTCGGGACCAAAATACCTCACGCGATAATATCATTTGAAAAAATTATCTTTCTAGATCGACCCACCCAATGAAATATCGTCAATATTACGCAACAGCCAAAATGGCTTAAGAACAAAAGGTCTATATATGTATATGTGATCTATATTTAGAAGCAAATCTAGGTCTCCTAGGTTACGGTTACTAACTATAGACTCTCGCGCTATTTATCTTCCTTGTTGAAAGAGTTGTACAGCATTTGGCTTAGTTAAGGGTCTTTTAACCGGAAATTTCGACAAATAATGGTTAAATAAGGTGAATGTTTTATAGGAAAGGTCTACTTGGCTCAACAACATAGATAAATATAGACTTTAATACAGTTTCAACACTATTAACGATATGGGGAAAGTTCTGAGCCGTGAGATTTAGAATCCACTGTTCGTCGAAAAAACTAGAACTCGAAAGAATAATAAAATAAAAATAAAATTTAATATTAAAAGATCAGTTAAAAGCCGAAAATTAATTAATAGCTTTCGTAGTTAATAATTKATTCCATAACTATACTTGCCTTTCTTTGTTTCGACTAACATTTTTTTTTAGTTTGTTATGAATTTGATTCGAGTTCATGCGAGTTTATATTTAGCAAGATTTGGGCGGTTGATGTATAGTTTATGAACTTGATCTTACCTTAAGGGCATTGGGAGTAAATCCTCAATGAAAATGTATTTATAATCTTCCATATTTGGAAAAGAAGACTTTAAGGAATCCAAAAAATGCATAATAAACAACATCTTTTTGGTTTTTTCGAATTTCAAATCTTGAACTCAATTTCTCTTCGTCGTATATTTTTGCTACAGGAATATAACTTCAAGAACAGTCAAAGATTTCGTTTTAAGGATTGTTGAAGTTTATATGTTTATTAACTCGTTAGCATTAATACCGTTGACAGGACAGTGTATATTATAGAATTAAATTCACCAAAAATGCGACGAATCATAATTCCATTGGTATATTTGATAGAAGACCTAGCTGTATTAATGTTAGATTTCTTGTTATCCATCGCTCACCTATCAACTCTCTTTTATTATTACTTCTACCATTAATATGGTGATTTTGAACAATTATATGAGTGACGAGGAGCGGTTTTTGCCCTTTTTAACCGTTTAATCGTGTATTCAAGGAAAATACAAGGTCTTCTAAAGGGCAATGATTTCATTTCCTCTTGTCAGTTGAGCTAATGACAGAAGAGAATAGAAAGCTATTATAGCGATGTGTGAGCCGTTTTGTAAGACAATAGATAGGTCACCAGGAAAGCTTAGAGCTAGCTAGACAGCTGGTTATATATTAGTGGGCCCGGTCGTACGAAGGGCGGATCAGCGTTGTATCAGACT